TTTAATATATATAATATTAATTACATGGTTTCCTTTTTTTTCTTTTCCAACGTTGATGCATACCAAAAGTATCATTTGTCCGTTCTTTAAAATCCTTATTTGATTGGACGTATTAAGTAGTGTTTTTATAAAAGAATAGTTTATCTTTATCATTGAGATTTGAATTATCTATAGATAGTGAAATCAAGAATTATCTATAAAAGATAATCGTTTGGCTAATGACTTTGTCTAATTTATCAACACCCTAATATACATACATTCATTCATCCCACGTATATCAACCTAAAAATCATAATAAAGCTATAAGATATGATTTTTATAATTTTTTAATGTATTTTTTTAGATGGAATTATTTTAAATTTAAAACTTGTATAAATTTATATAACCTAATTCTTATCAAATAGAATGGAAATGATAATATATCTCTAGCAGATACTTTGGAACTTCAAGATATTTTGTACATATTTTGCTTCTTTTAATGTTTTTAATTTTTGAAGATAAAAAAAAAATCATAATCACTCAATAAACAAACAACCCTGACTTTTTGACCCTCCATGTTGTGAGGACCTATTTTATTATTATTTTCGGTCTATGATCCATAAAGTTTTATTTATTATTTAAAACTGAAGGGATGTATTCAGATTTGGCCTCTTTATTCTTCTAGTATTTCCTTTTCTTTTTATGGGAGCCTCTAACCTTTTATTTTTCTTTCAAATTTATCAAGCCCTACCTTTTATTTTATTTTATAATAGTCTTACCATCACAACGCCATGAACTAGCGTGCCTGCATGGCACCTTTTAGTCGGAGTGAGTCCTAAGTTGAATTCTTGATAATTCATAATCCAATAACTCTTTTATTTTTGGAAGTGCTATTTTTTATAATTGTGGATAACTTTCGAGACGATGTGTTAGCTTTACTATATAAAATAAAAGGTAGATAAGGATAGATTACAGCTTAGTACTCTTTATAGTTTATTGAGATTAATTAAGAACTATCAAAAGTAAATTAAATATTCTCTTTGCTAGCACTGATGAAAGTGCCCTTTTCTTTCTAATTCACTTTTGCTTTCTCTAATGCTCAAAAAGGGCAAAAAAGAAAATTAAAAATTTCATAAACTTGAAAATGGAATTGAGTGATGATTGTTAGGATCAGTTTGATCTTTGCTAGGAGGCTGAACAGATTATTTGAATATAGTTTGGTAACTTGTCTATGTGAATATTCACAGAGCAATCAATAATATTCAATATAGAGAAAGCTACAAGTGCACAATAATGGAAGAGAAAGAAACGCAAGTGAACTCAACTCAAACCCCATCTCTTTCACCCAGTTCGTCACCACAAGCAGCTGCCAAGACAGCTTTTTCTATCTCTTTTCTTCTCTTGCACGCTCATTCAAATTGTGCCTATTTATAATTGAAAATGAGAAAACACACATCCCATTTCCATTCGTGATTTCTCCCAACGAATCACCACAAATTCTCATTTCTAACTCCTTTCTTCAACCCTTGATTTTGTGAGTAATTCTCCACACTCAACAGTAACCAGATTTTAAAATACAGAAATCAGATATATAGTTTTTTTTTCCCGCTGAAATCATGACGTCTAAGCATACAGAAATCAGATATATAGTTTTTTTTTTTTTTGCTGAAATCATGACGTCTAAGTAATTGATTGTGTTAATCTACATGGAATGGGTCATAATTTACTCAATTTATTTGGATACAGAACTTCTATAAGCTCACTCAATATAGGTGGTGACGCTGAATTATCAACACATTTGGATTTCTTCGAAAACGATAGCTTTGAACATGCTAGAAGATTTAGAGCCGATCTACTTTGTTATTATCTGCTAAATTTTTTGCCACAACCAAATCCAAAATGTTTGGCCTGAATCCAATAATAAGATGAGTCATCTTCAAAAGTCTATGTACAAAGCAAAACCAGTATCTCATATTCATAGCACGCAACTAAAAACCCACCAAATCAGGCAGGATTACATGAATGGACTTTCAGCTGGCTATATTGACAATACAACACAAGCATCTGTACTCTTTTTTTTTTCTTTATCTTTGATCATCAATGCATATCAATGTTGAATGGATTTTCTTCATATATCAGAATGAAGGATTTGTATAAGAAAACATATGAAACCAAAATAAAGAAAGAAAAGATAGATAACGATTACCCGATTCGGCTAAAATATGCATGTTGTGGTACACATACACTTACCTTTTCAGCTATTGGATTTAAAAATCGAAGTAATGGTTATGATTTTATTTATGTATTCATTATTATTATTATTTTTATTATAAAGAAATCCCAAAAGGCCAAACTATTAAATTTAATGATTATAATTAATTAATAACTCTTAAAACTCATTTCTTAACCATATCAATCCTCAACCTTTAGGTGTTCTTCAACACAGCCATTGAAAACATGCGCGCGCGCATGTGTGTGTGTGATGACGATTTCTTGCACCTTGCAATCATGATTGGAGATAATCCATAAATAAATAATGGTTTCCAAAGAAAAAAAAAAAAACAAAGTAGAAGGGACTTTACAGATAGATCTCAACATGAATCATTCGGGAAAAAAAATTAAACATTCACGAGGAGGATTGAAGATTTGAAAGATGGAATGAACGTGTGAAACTGTTAGACGTGCAATAATATTTGAGATTTTTTCACGTAAACAAACAAAGCAGATTTGAAGAAGAGAACTGTTATGACACCTTGTTTGCACCAAACAATTGTCGTGACCACCCGGCAAAGTGTTTATACAATAATCACAATCTAATAATACCAAGCACGTCATTATCTCCTTCCCTACGTTATAACACATGGCATACGCTGCTTTCATTTGAAACGGCTAAAACCGAGCCCAGGGGAGGAGCAAGAAAGAAAAATTAAGGGGAGCTAAATTAAAAATTAAAATTCAAGTTAAATTTTTAATTATTTTTTAAAATATTTATAAGAGAGAGAGCTGGGAAAAAAATTTCCTCCCCGTCTCTGCCACTGGCTGAGCCCATCTAGCGGGGGCTAGTTCAAGTTAGCTTCGATAATAGTCATGACTTATAAGAGCTTGTTAGAAATTTTTCCGAGTGGTTAACCTATTCAGTTTTATTTTTAATTTTTTTTTTGAAAAAATACTTATTTTTTTAAAAAAATTTTCACTTATCTAGAATAAATTATATATCCATTGGTGATCGAGTTAATTATCTGTCGAATCTGATAACTAAAGCTACAATATCATTGATTAATTGTAATTTTAATCCTGTTTTCAATTTTTTTTTTCCGTAACTACATTTCTTCATATTGTCATCCTAACTCTACCCATTTTTTTTCCTTTTCTTTTCGGTAATTTTATAGTTCTTCCATCGGCAGACAATCTTTTTCAGAGAACTATTGTCACATCAAATAAATAAACAAAAAATCATATATAAGTTTGAGAATTATCCATCCATTCTATTATTTTAAACAAAATTCAAATTTAATTATCGAATTTAACAATAACAAACATTGACCGAAGTAAAATTATACCAGTAAATAAAAAAATAAAGAGGGGTAAAGATATGAAGGGAAAAAAAAGGATTTTATTGTTATTTTTAGTTAAGAGTAAATTATGGTTTGATTTGACACTGCCTTAAATAGCAAAAGAAAACAGATGGAAGACTCATCAGATTGGTAGTACAAAATAGAGAATGGGTGAATGATAAGACAAGAAATACTAGCAGAGGGTCAACGTAAGATAAAACTAGAAGTAGAGAGGCTGATCATACACACCACTGATCCACAATATTACAGTGGGATTTCTCATTACTATGCATATAAGACTCGCTCGCCTGGTAGGTCAACTTAATATTAAAATGACCTCCTAAGTCAACTTAATAAAATTATTGATGGGAATTGGCCCCGGTCAACAAATTGAAAAACCTGGATTTTTTCCCCAAACAGATTTTAAAAAATAATTAAAATCTGAGTTGATTTATTAACTCATAAATCAACTCGCTTAAGTTGAGATTTAAGTCTTAAACCGTGTCGAAAGGTACTTTTTGGGCTCAGTAAATCCTTTCAAGCTTGATTGAAGGTGGACCATTGGATTTGATTCGAGCCCATATTTGGTAAGCATCACCTCGGTCGTCGCTTCCTTGGGATCCTAATGTAGTTTTACCAGTTAGGACGGCTTCTCTCCTTTTTAATCTTTACCTCTCCCCAGAATAAAATAACTCCTTGCCTCTCCCCACCAATTACAGTGACGCTCTTACATTTGACAGTTGACACCATAAGTTATACTCCAGTTGTCACTAAAAAATATTTTTCTTGAATCTCCTATTTCCAATTGTTGGTCTCTGCTCTAATAAAAATTAAAATATACCATTTATTACAATTATAGGCCTACTAAAATCAGGCTTTAATTAGAGGTATACATTGTATGGAAGCATATTGTTTGATGGTTTGCAAGACAATCATTTTGTACATGATGTTCTAATTGCTCTCGGTGATTGTTTCAAGATTCAACTAGATGAGATGAAGAAAATAGCAAATATTTCAATTTTTAATATATATTGAAATCATATATGGTATATTTATTTTGAATTCAATATTTTAAATTAACTGAACATAATAACATAATAATATCCCAAACTTTATGTATTTATCATGTATATAAAAGAGCCTAGTTCTCCAGAAAAAAGCTAAAATAATATAAATAGAAGTTAAGTAGACCAAAGCTGTCTTTGTAAAAATTTCCCTGTTCCTGGTAGTGTTTTTTTTCTTGTTTGAAAATATAGTAATAATTATTTTTTAAATAATATTTTATATTAAAATACATGTGAATGATGTTTTTTTAATTTAAAAAAATTATTTTTGATCAAAATAATTTAAAAATATATTAATTTAAAATAAATAAAAAATAAAAATAAAAATATTTTTTTTAAAAAAAACAGTCCTTCAAAACTAAACGCAAGAATCCCTCTCTGCGAACATTTTCTCTCTCTTCCATGCCTCCTGTTTCTCTTTCTCCCTATAAAAATGACCCTCCAAAACTCCTTGAAGGCAACAATCACCAACATCGAGAACTTCCTTCATCTCCATTCTTTGCCTCTTTCTCTCCTTTTCAAATCTGAAAGAAAAAGAAAAATCAAGTTCCTCTCTTCCATATAATACAAAGAATTAACCAAAGTCATGAGGTCTTCTGTTGGACTTGCAAAGCCATGCACAGTCCCACCCACTAGAGACATGACATTGGAGTGCTGCACTCTCACTCAACCCATAAAACTCAATAAAAAGTTCTTACAAAATCAACCTCTAAAAAATTGGGAAGGCTTGCTTGACCATGAATCGGCGACTGCATCCCGGCCAGTTAAACTAAGACGGAAATGGATGGAGTATCAAGGTATTCGAAACTGGGAAGGTTTGCTTGACCCTCTTGATGATAATTTACGTGGAGAAATTCTTCGGTATGGGCACTTTGTCGATGCTGCATATAAGTCTTTTGACTTCGATCCTTCATCACCCGCCTATGCAACCTGCCGGTTCCCAAAGAGCACATTGTTTGAACGGTGCGGCAAACCGGATACTGGTTACCGGCTAACCAAACATCTACGTGCAACATCGGGAATCCAAATCCCACGTTGGATTGAAAAGGCACCTAGTTGGGTGTTTACCCAGTCCAGTTGGATTGGATACGTCGCCGTTTCTCTAAACAAGGCAGAAATAGCGAGGCTAGGACGCCGAGACGTGGTGATTGCCTTTAGAGGTACTGCCACTTGCCTTGAATGGCTGGAGAATCTTAGAGCAACCCTGACTCAACTTCCAAATTCAGATTGTGGCAAAAAAAGCTCGGACGATTGTGGACCCATGGTAGAAAGCGGATTTTTGAGCCTGTACACTTCAGGAACACCAATGGGTCCTAGCTTACAAGAAATGGTGCGTCAAGAGATCAAAAGGCTACTCCATACTTATGGTGATGAACCTCTTAGCTTAACCATTACAGGACACAGTCTTGGAGCTGCACTTGCGACTCTTGCTGCTTATGACATCAAGACTACATTCAACTGTGCGCCACTTGTGACTGTCATTTCTTTCGGAGGTCCGCGTGTCGGTAACAGGAGTTTCAGACGACACCTGGAAAAACAAGGAACGAAAGTGCTGCGTATTGTAAATTCAGATGATGTGATAACAAAAGTACCTGGATTTGTAATTGATGGGGAGAACAATGTGCCAAATAAAGGAGACCTCAATATGGCAAGCTTGCCTAGTTGGATCCAAAAAAAGGTGGAGGACACACAATGGGTCTATGCAGAAGTTGGCAGGGAGCTAAGACTTAGTAGCAAGGATTCTCCATATCTCAATAGCATCAATGTAGCAGCATGTCATGATTTGAAGACTTACCTGCATCTGGTGAATGGATTTGTAAGCTCCTCCTGTCCTTTTAGAGCAAAAGCAAAACGATTTTTTCATAGTAACCACCGTCGATAAAATAAACAACCACGACGACAATAATAATAATAAAAGAACGAGTGGCCTATGGAAGCTAGGGTTTAGGATATCAGTACATAAATTAAATAATACTTTGTTATGGGAAGGTAGGATGAAATATTCATTTTTTCCCCATAGTTGGCATTACCCGCCAAATGCGGGGGTGGGCATTGCCATTCTTTGTTAACAGAAGTTGAAAATTGAATCCACATTGATTTCCCTTCCCTGAAACTAAAATGCATATTTCATCAATTTCCTTGCCTCCTTTTAATCGGGCTTGGTGGATCATTTCTTCCCCTTTTCTTTCTCTTTAGTATGTATATTATAGAAAAGACAAGAACGTATTTTTTATAAAAGATAAGAAAAAACATAGAATAAAATATTTTTTAAATAAATATGTGCATTTTTAAAACATGATGAAAACTTGTCCTCAATATCTTCGTCATTTCAATCTCAAAACAACAACTAAAAACTACTAACAAGTTTATAACCTTGTCAATTCAAACTCGTCTTTAAATGATGAATACACTTTTTTTATCCTGCTATGGAAATTCGGTCCCACGGCAGGAATCTATTCAGTCAAGTATTTGAACTTGGTGGGGGGCCTAGGGCAGCAAAAAAAGAGCAATTTGTTTATACCAAATTACCCCTACATCCAACAATATCTTGAAAATTGCCCTTCAAAAACACCGACCCAGAGCTGCCCCACCAGATGCAAGAGCCGTCCATTCCGATCACGCAGAACCGTTAATGTAGAAATTATTGACGTTCCTTCACCATACAATAGCATTAATGGAAGTTCCTTTAAGTTTACCACTGTAAAGCTTAAAGAGTTATTGTACAAGTATGTGCTTAATTATTTCCAACTATGATTGGACTGAAATAGAAGTCTGATAATTTCATGTTTCTCGTCGCTGGGTAGGTCTGTGTGCAACACAATTTGTCCTTGCTGACACTCGTTCCTCTTCTCCATAATGTAAGAGGATTCAATCAAGTATAGTTCTATATATAATCCATTTTAGGACTGTCTGGTCTGTATAGCAGTTGATTTCTGTACAATAATAAATGCAAGAACGTAAAACATCAGCATGGGATATATTCAACATAGTTAGTGATGATAGACTAAGAGCACTATTACCTCAATAATTTTGGAGAATCTCCTAATTCTGCCCAAAAATCCAATGCCCTGTAACCCAAAGTGGGTCTATATGAATGAGTGTTATATAAGAACAATGCAAGTCAACGTCTTGGTTTAAGGTGCCATACATATATGGAGGATACCGACAGCATTTTAAAATTCAAGGGAAAAAAAAAGGTCAGATACTGGGGGCCTCTCCTCCTGAAGGTATTTATAATTTGTTTTTGGAGGTGCTATCATCAAACATGTTTCCGATAATATTTTATTGAAACTTCATGTAATTGTACCAGTTTATATATACCATAATTAAACCCACAAGTCCTAAAATTAATGACTATGTAAACCTTTAATAACCATCATATAAGTAATTAAACACTCGAATTTGTGATAGACAAAAAAAATAAATTTTTTAATCTTAAATCTTTACCACACTTGCTCACCACCTAAATAATTAACTCTTATCATTTTTGTTAACATAGAAAGTCTCCCTATCGATTGGGGGCAGCAATATTCCTATCTTTCAAGGTAGATAAGTACTGCAAATTTTATCATCCAAAAGTGATTATGCTAAATTCGAAATTTATACAACTCAATCATACATATGTACACTAATTATGGAGCTATCCTATTTTCCAAGCTAGCTAGGGATGCAGGACTAACAAGTGTAGTCTAGATGATAATGCAATGATAAGAAGGATGTGCTTTGAATGATGTCCAGGAAAACCTTGTGAGAGATAAATAAAGCTTACCAATTAATATGTTTTAATAGATAGAGAGATAATTAAAACATAATAATTATAATTTCATAATTAGATTTCAAATTCTACGCAACGCGACATTCATTTTAATTTATTCCAACTTTTCAGCATTGGAAGTCTCTGCGCACGAAGCAATCCCATCTTTAAAGTTAGGCATGTACTTATTAAAAAGCCTAGTCTAGATTGAATAAAGCAATCATAATAAGTACTTGCTACGAGTGGTGTCAAAATAAAAATGAAAATGGAGTACTGAATAATAAATATGGTTTTACTAAACGATTTGTGTTCCATCCAAGAGACACGTCTCCTGGCTAGACTTTCCTTGCTAGGAGTAGCATCCTTGCAGGCAGCGGCTTCAGAAAGTATCCCACCGTCCAAATGTATTGAATAGAACAAAGCTTTCATACTCGGCGTTGTGTCGTCCAGGATGAGACTTTATACTTTATTAGAGCAAGAGAAAAACACAGGGTGTCAAGCAAGTCTCTCCTCAATGTAGCTACCTCTCAACAACCACCTTGGAATGAAGACACAAATTAACGTGATCTTAGACTTCAAAAATCGATGACATTTTTAGGTTTCTCTTGCAAAATTAATTCAAAAGAAAGGACAAGCACCCCCACGCAAGACAGAATGCAAGTCAAAAGCGATTTGACAGTCTAAATGGTCGACCTAACCATTTCATTTGCCTACTGGTCCAGCAAAAGGGCATGCCACGTCTGTGGCTATAAGATTTTGGCGTGCCTCCGATTTTATTGACGGCAAGGAAATGAACATGGGATGATTAGCCTCTATTTGGTATTTGTGTTATAAGTGAGGTGGTCAAATTTTAAATTATTTATTTATTTAAATTAATTTGTTTAAATATTTTAATCCATGAACACAAGATTTAGTTGTGCTTTGAGATATAATGATCACGACGTAAATGCCAGCTTAATACAGCACAAACAGTGTACGAAATCTGTTAAAATAAGAACGATGCCACGCTAGGTAAATGTAAATCTTCAATAAATATTAGAGTGAATAATTCAGTCTGTTTTTATTTTTATAATTGAACAGATTTTATTATGTTCTTGTGTTTTCAATGACTTTGTATAATATCCATTTTCTTCAATATATCTTATTATAAAAAATTTATTTAAACTGACATGGTTATATTTTTATTTCAAAAATACTACTTATTTGAAAAAAAATATTTTTTTAATTTTAATGATCAAGTAGGTTTAATATTTTATTTATTTTAAAAAGAATTTTGAGAGAATTTTCTTTTATATCCTTGTATAATTCAAGGATATTTTCTAAATAGAAAATATAATTTTAGATTTTTTTATTAAAAAACATATAACATATAATTAGTGAACTTTGTCAATCCAATTATTTATTAATATATAAATATTTCTAATAATCAAACTTCTTCATCAGAGACCCTAGAATTCAAAATTCAATTCTGTATTGTCATTGAACATAATTTAAATTTGATAAATAAATTGAATTCACATGTTTAGAAAAATTAAATAAAATTCATATTTTTTTCTATATTATCCTCATTATCTTTATTTTATTTCTTCAAATGTCTTTAAATAAAAGAGTGCTAGATGAGTATTTTAAGCAAGTTATTTTAATATTAAATTTCTCTCTTTAAAATTGTAAATCGAAGGGGTTAGCCCTCTTATTTACTTTTATAATATTTTTAGATACTAATTTATATTTGAAATTTAATTTTTAACACTCAAAAGGATTTCAAATATAAATTAAAAAAAACCTCTAAATTGATTTAAATTTAATTCATAGTGTTTCAAACTTTAAAGATTTTTTTTGACACACCTGATACAAAGGGAAATTAACTCGCATTGTGTAGCTGCATTGAGACTGTTTTGTTAAAAAAACCATGTAAAACAAGGATTTTTTTAATTTTTTATTCTTTCGAGAGAGCAAAAGAGAAACATGAGCTGCGTTGCAAAGGATTAATATCCGTGCACTTAATTTTGACCAATAAACATGGAAATTACAACAAGATATGCGCACAAAAGCGCATACACACAATATGTAATTAAACACTTGTATAATTCTTTATTGTGAAAAATAATATAACATAACGACCACATTTTATTTAACACATGCAGTTCATTGGAAAAACTCCAAATTTCTATTGTCTTTACCTTTAAAATTCAATCATCTAAGAGATTGTGTAATCTAACTGCTTGATATCTTCCAAGAGTTAATTATATGACTAGATTATGTTCAATTTCTCTCACATTAATTCCACCGTTTAAGCAGCCACTCAAGTAAGAAACCCAAACATTTAAAATTTGTATGAATACTTTTGTGATATATGTTGCAGGATGCGAGCTAATGCGAAGTTGTTTGGTAATGGTGGAGGCTTTTATCGTGTTTTCGATATGAGGTGTTGTGTTGGAACATGTTTTAATCATAAAATTATGATTAAGGTTCAGGAGTCGCCGTCTAATATCATGGTCACTAGGAATCTATAATATGCAAGAGTCTGGGTAGGAGAAGACGCATCACTCCTAGCGCACCCTACCTAAAATAAGTTGCATTGTTGTTTGATTATTTTTTTCTAAGTCGGGTTTCTATTCGTTTATTTTTTAAAGGTTCAAAGCAGATCTCTCTTCATAAGAAAATTTATATCTTATTTGGTTAAATCCTAATCATTTTAAAGTCTGAATTTTAACATCATATTTATTTACACCTTGTATATACAATACTTGAGAGTGTACTTTATAGTATAATTTTACACCCTATAAATATTAAAGTCTACATATCGACCCTAAAAAAATTTTAAAAAAAATATTTTTGACATGTTGACTAAATCCTAATGGATAATCATAAATTAGTTACGATATCAAGTTTTGGATTTTTTTAAACATGAAAAAGATATAATTTTTTTTTTATGAACAACATGTAAAATTTTCAGAATTTGGCCGCATGCAACAAAATATTGTTTTTGCAAATATTTTGAAATTATTTTTTTGAAATATTTTAGAGAAAACTGGTATTTTAATACCATATTTTTATTTTACAGTGTATATATACAACTCGATATTATGCAAAATTGGTAGAAAAATATGCAAAAAAATAATAAAAAAATAATATTTTTGAAAATTTTTGGATTTTATATAAAAAAGGTATTAGTCCACTATATGAACAATGGACATCAATTATAATTCACGCCCACTATTCCTGCATGAACAGTAAAACGTGAATTATAATTCATGTCCACTGTTCACTCAGTGAATAGAGGCAATGAAGAAGGGGAAGGGGAGAGAGGGTGGACAACCTAACATGGTGATGGTCTGGTGCCGGTGGTTGCAATGGTAGAGGCTGGCGTCGGGTATAGGAGAAAGAAGAAAAGGTAGCAGAGGAGAGAGAAATGCTGAAAAGAGAAGAGAGAGAAAGTCATGGTGGCTGCTTTGCCATTGATGAGGATCTGGGTTGATGGAAATGATAATGGTAAAGCCAGTTGTGGTGACGGAGGTCGGCGGTAAAAAAAGTAAAAGAAGAAGAAAATGGGAGGGGCTGCAGAGAGTAGAGAGAAACCGATGGTGGCTCTTGGTGGTAGGTTGGTGGTTGTGTTGGCTTTCTATGATAGAGCTAATGGTGGGAAGTCCGGTGATGAGGATGGTGGTGGTTAAAGGCCACGATGGAGAGAAAAAAAGAGAGAGGGCTATGTAGAAACCAGAAAAAGCTGGTTTTTTGACTTATTTTGAATCCAATTTTCTTTTCCCTTGAATCATGAAATCCACCTCTATTTATAGGCTATGAAAGAGGGAAATCTTGTCTATACCGGGAAAAAATTTCCGCCCTTGATTAAATTGGGAAGTATCCCAACCACTGATTCAAAGTAGGCATCTTAAGTTGTCAAATCTGTAAACAAAAGCTAACTGAGTAGGTCTTTTCAGGTTGTTATCAATGTTAATGTATTGTCATTTAGCTTGAATAGGTCTCATGGGGTTGTATAAAAAGTGCAGAGGATCATTAAGTATATTAAATGCAGCTGTAAATTAGATAACATGATCAGTTTTTTCAGAGAAAAAGGAAGATAATAAATAATGCTCAATTCTGTTTTTGCCAAAGTTCATTTTAGTTCTTTTTATTTCAATTGCTTTTAATTGAACCCTAATTGGCCCTAAACGTTTTTTATTTAATGCAATCAAGTCTCTAATTTTAATCAATTAACTTAGTAAAAATTAAATTCAGTCTCTTAAAATTTCAGTTTTCTCAATTAAGCTAAAATTAGACCCTCAAACTTAATTTTTCATCAATTAAGCCCAAAATAAAATCAATGTGACCCACTTAAAGTATAATTAAGTCCTTGCATTTAATTGAATTCTTCAATTGGATCCAAATTAATTCTTAAACATAATTAAAATTTAATTTGACCCATAATTAAATCAAATTGGCTTATTAAAAATTTAATTATGTCACTGGACTTAATTTTTATGTAAATTTGTTCAATAATCATCCAATTTGATCTTGAATTTGTATTTTTCTTTATTTTTGGTTATAATAGGGTACAATTAGACCTTGAATTTTCTTAAAAAATTATAGCTTGATTTTTTTTATTTTTATAGCTCTTTTTGATATGTTTTTTCCACGTTATCAATCTTTATTTTATTTTTTATTTTTATTTTAAAAAAATTAATTTTTAAAAAATAACCCAGAATTAGGTTGTGACAATATATTAGAAAAAATGTAAATAATATTGGACTTGAAACTCCTTACTAGCTAGGAAGTGAAGTGCCTTCATGTTTTAAATATATTTTAAAAATATATTTAACTTGAAAAGGCATCAAATTTATTTATTTATAATATTTTTTAATAATTATAAAATTATGATAAAGAAATTATTTTAATGTATTTTTAAATAATTTTTTTAATACAATACTAATTCTAATTCAGAGGTTTTAATTCTATATTTTACACAATTAATTTGTTTCTATGAATCCCATACATAGAAGGGGAATACAAATTAGTTAAAAGTAAAGGATAATCTCTCTAACATCCTAATTTTTCACGTGATTTCTTGCACATTGCAAGAAAAAATCATTTGGCGCTATCAAACAAGAAAAAGAGAAGGGAAATAAGATGCTATCGCAATTAAGGACATAAAAATTGCAATGGCTCGCAAATGAATATGATCGCCCGCTATAGGAAGTCAGGTCAGCACGCAGTAAACATCATTTCTTATTCGAAAATGATAGGATACGGCGATGAGATATTGTCATATGATAATTTTGTTGGCGCAGAAAAAAGAAAGTGGCATGTCCTAGTTTATAGATGGTCCCATAGATGTCAGTCCTCGTGTTCTTCTATCCATCCACGGAAAACGTTGGTCTCGTCAGCGTAGCTTATGCCAAAACGTGACTAAATATCTTGTGGTAACGTTCATTCATATTAAAATATATCCTTCATTTCAACCCATCAAAAAACTTGAGCAATATATACTTCTTGAAAACGGCCATCGCAACTAGGTCATGAAAAAAATGCTTGCGGCCCTGGACAAATTTAGAGAACATTGGTATTCTTATGAAGGTTGTCCTTTCAAGTTACTACCCTTGTATTTGCAAGTATTGAAGGCGGGCGCCTCTATATTCGTGGCCGTGAAGGGGAAACCGTGTGTGCAACGACTACCTCATAAAAACTCACTTGCCGGTGGATTTCAATGATATGTGTGGTACTATCTTTGTCTGCAGGTGCTGACCTATAGCATGTGATTTAGGTGTCTTGCCACCCCAAAATTCTAAATTTTCCTAACAAATTTAATACCCTTCACCCCCATAAATTATTATTATTAGTATTAGTATTAGTATTATTATGTGAACCTCACTAAAATAAAAACGAAATATTATAATTACTTGTAAGTATTAATTAAATGACTCTTGGAAAGCACTTCAAGGACACCATTAGCCGACCTTGTAATGACGGTTAACGCACTTGCCCTCCCCCCTCGCCAAATCAAGCTACATAACTGTTCTCCAATCTTTCTTCACTTCGATTCATTTTCAAGTCTGTCTTTATAATTTTTATGCGACAACTCCACTTCAGATTTTCTAATTCCACTCCTTAATCTAGATGGGACATTGCCAACCCTGACCTCCCACTAGCCAAATTCTTGCATCAAGTAATTAAACTCAACACGTTTTATTAATTTTACGTTAATTGTGGAACCCTCCATCCATTTAACTTTGTATATAAGAATGAAAGGGACTTACCTTGTTGCATGAACTTCACAAATAGAAGAGTTCGGTCAATGAGCTCCACTTGGCAGAGCATCCCTCGATGTGCTAAGAAAATCAACTGATAAATCTGCTTCCTGCAACAAAACAAAGCAGATCTGCGGCTTCAGAACATATAACAAATCTATAGTCTGAAGAATCAACCCAACAAACTTGGCCCATGAAAGAGAAATAATTCAAAATCAAATCCTATATGAGATAACCTATGAAGATAGTGGAAATGCTAGAAGAAGACAAAAAAAACCGGCGTTCATACTGTAACAGTAATGAAATAATGCCTAACGCTCCGCGTCCCATTCTATCTCACTTTCATCTGAGATTTTATAAAAAATGTACCATTTATAATTCTGTACAGATCTCCTCTCTTTTTCCTTGTAAAAGTATGTCTTTTGCAAGGGTAAAACAAGTGCATCATGATGCGTACACGAAATCTCCAGCGAAATCGAGCCAATAAATAAATTAACGCAGCATGCCATAAGATGGTTCACCTGAGGCAAATAACATCTCAAATAGAGTAAAATATCAAGCCAACAGCGCAAATCTCTCCAATCCAAAATTCATAAGATTGACCTCTAAAGCGTCGTAAGAAAGGAAAATACATTCAATTAGGTGTAACATAACAGTTATTAGAATATTAGCATACAAACTCAATAATAAATAAGATAAATGATAAGGAATAAAATAAAATAAAAGATGAGAAATGAGATACACAAGAATTTGTATGATTCACTCAATTAGACTATGTTCATGGACAAGTATAGAAAAATTTTACTAAGTAATGTAAAAATTACAAACTCTCTCAAATAAAAAAAAATCAACTAAGAATCTTTCTATTAATAGAAGAAAATACATTATTTATTCACTCATAAATACAAAATAACTCACTTACTTTATCATAAATACCTTATAATTTTATGTTAACTCACTTACTTTATCATAAATACCTTACAATTTTATGTGATTACTCTCTCTTTATCTTAACATACAAAATAAGTTTGGAGGTATTGTCTATCTATAAGAAAAAATAAAGGGACAAAAACTATAAATTATGACACTAATTATACTATGAATTATATCAATAACTTATTTTTATTTATATTCTATTAATTATACCAACAACAACGCATCTCCATTTATTTTTATCTTCCATCAATTATATAGATTTAATTGATTTAATTAAGTGGTTGCTTTATAACAGCCAGGCAATATCAAAGAAGATAGCATACCTTCTACGAAAAGGACGTGATGGATATTATTTACGAAGTTGTGATACTCGTGAACCAAAAATAAATGATTTTGGATGAAAACAACATCCATAACTATCAACTTTATGCACAATATTTGGAGAAAGCTTTACAAGGATCCTCTTGATAAAGGTAAAAAGAAGGTTCACGCGACCCAACATCAAAGTCTTGAATTCGCCTAGTAGAAACTGGCAAAAGATTCATGCTGAATTGAAAAGGATATTGATTTTTATTTGATGGGAAAGCTACTTTCAAGGTCGCTGTTACGATAGCCTGCTCAGCTTTTGAATTTTTGAACAGAAGTCGGTGGCAAATTATTAGTCAGAGTATGGCTGAAATGCAAACTGATGAGTAGGTGGTTCCTAAGAAGAAAGATATCTGTCTAACAATGAATATATCATCAGCAAAACTGTAAGGAGATTCAAAGAAGACCAGCACAAATTAAAGAATGCAAGAAGTTTGGCACCATTATTGAGGCCTGTTCTTGTGACAATGAAAAGGGATCAAATCAGAAGCTTGAGAACTTAGAAACCATCTTCTCCCTCAATTTCTCTCTCTTTTTTTTCTACCTTTCTTTTCTTATAGTTAAAATGTATTCCATCAACCTCCTTTCGGTTCATTTTAGATCTAAATAGTTACATTGTTGTTATTGTTTCCCTACTCATAAATACAGTTAAAAATCTTGTGTTTGAAGATGAACTACCAAAACTTAAGCTTATTTGATGAAGAAGAAAATATTAGATGAATTTATAAAATCTCAACCTCTTCTCTTACCTTTTGTATGAATTTGTTATACGTGTACTTGTTTTTTATACACTATGCTGGGATTAGTTTTCCACACTTAATTACCTTCTATTTTATTGTATTTTAATTCTTATGATGTATGATTCTGCATTAAGTTAAATATTTTGTAGTGATATCTAATTCTATTTGGATCCAGTTCATTATATGAAATCAAATTTACTTAAAAAAAACAACAACAACAACAAGATGAACTTCTTCTATGAGCTTCTCCTTTGACGAAGGCACATTGAGTTATGGGATAATAATGGAAAGTATTTAAATATATCTGATTGTTGCGAAAATAAATATTAATAAACAATGTCTGAATATTTAAGATTAAATTTACCATCATATCGTGGCCACACAACAATCTTGTGTTTTTAATTCCCGAGAGGTATTTATTCATAATTTATAATTGAATGAATTTAATATACACCCCTCACAAAACATGCACAAGCTGGGATAAATTATTGTGGGTCTTACAAAATGCTACTTTAAGTAATCCATGTGCATAGGCTAATGGTGAACTCAACTTATCTAATAATCTCATAGGTTGCCCATCACCTTGTTATAAAATTAATTTTACTCCAATAATTATACGAGGATGATCATAATTCGACCTCTTAAAAAAGAAATCCATGTTTTGACGCTTTTGGGCTGTACAAATATGGTTCAAATGGTTCTATCACCCTTTGTTGTCATATCTTTGCAATTAATATTTTAATTACTTAAATTACACGAATTCTTCTTACGTCGTTGTTCTCGAATTTCAATAATATATTTGATTGGAAGGCTATCCCACGGTAGAAACCAGAACATAATCCTAGGTCAGAATGGGTTAGGAGTAGTACTTAGCAAAATAACAAAACAATATATATGATCAATTAGATCTAAGTTAACATCATTATATTATATGATCAATTTAGTACAATATTATGACCATTCCATAGCAGCTATATTGCACAAGATGGTCTATATACCTTGTAACCATTGTAACTGGTGGTTACAATGATAAACATGCCTTGCAAAATTAAACTCCAGAATTCTAGAAATTAACATGACTAGTGTTAGTTTGGGTCAGTTCCGAAGCTTAAAGGTTAGGAATGATTAAAAACATAATTGTATGAATAAAATTTACTATAAATGTTAACTAGGAAATATTGGGATATAAATAGCCAATGCCACTCAAGGCATCTGAGTGCTCAAAACCAGGTACGAGATTGGATTTTATTTTGTTTCCTCTGTTTTTCACGGTGCACATACTAGAAACCATGACCATTTTAAGCCCAGATACACAAACTACTGTATCCACCCCTCGAAAATCAAATAACTCCCCCCTTACGCTTTCTAGCTAAATTGACCCAATGTGGTAGTTTACCTTTGTTTTATTACCATTAACCGGTTTGTTACTGCAATTGCTAAGAAGCTATCACTATTACAATGGTGTTGTGCAAGACTTTTCTGTAAAATAAATACTCAAGTTAAAAGATGTGAGATGTGTCCATAAGAAATTTATAGTTTTAGGCTAGTTAGTTTACAGAAAGTAGTTTTTTTATGAAAAATAGTTTTTTATAAAAAGTAGATTTTTAAAAAAGTAAATTAAAAAACACTTTCACTATTTAGTTATCCTATGAAAAATAAGTTAAAAAATAAAATTTTAAGTTTTTTAAAGTTTATTAAAAGAATAAATATTAAATTTTACAAATAAAAAAGTTGACAGGTGATGAAATTAAAAAAAATTTCTAATTTTATAAATTATTTTAAATAAAAAATTAACAATCAAAATAATTAGGACCAAATATGATAAATAAAAAAATTACAATTAAAAAAGAATTAGAGAAGCCAAAAACAATAAAAAAGATGAGAACAAATATTGATAGAAAATTCAAATTAAATCAAAATTTAAAAGATAAAATAAAAAAATAAAAAAAATGATTCAAAATAAACTATATTTTATAAATTATTTTAAATAAAAAATTAACAATCAAAATAATTAGGACCAAATATGATAAATAAAAAAATTACAATTAAAAAAGAATTAGAGAAGCCAAAAACAATAAAAAAAGATGAGAACAAATATTGATAGAAAATTCAAATTAAATCAAAATTTAAAAGATAAAATAAAAAAATAAAAAAATGATTCAAAATAAACTACATAGCAATTAAAATATTAATTTGATATAATTAATAAATAACAAGATAAAAAAGATGAGAACAAATATTGATAGAAAATTCAAATTAAATCAAAATTTAAAAGATAAAATAAAAAAATAAAAAAATGATTCAAAATAAACTACATAGCAATTAAAATATTAATTTGATATAATTAATAAATAACAAGATATATGTGAATCTTTTGCAATTTCTAAAAGATGTAATCCATTCAAAATATAAAAAAAAAAACATATTTTTTTAAGAATCAAACTAATTTTTTCTTGGACTATTTTTTATTTATTAACTTTTTTGATAATAAAAAAAACATAAAATAATTAGAAAATTTTAGAAAGTAGTTTTAAAATAAAATCATTTTCTATATATAAAAAAAGCGTGATATTATACTATTTAAGATTACTATTTTCTTAACACTGCAACATGATGTCCTTCGAAATCCGACAAATTCAAAACAATATTTTAAAGAATTAAACAAAATGGATGCCAGCGAGCAAATAATTAATATTCATTTGGCAATCACGCCTGCAATACGAGACTCTAAGCAAATTCATATACTGCTATGACGACGGTGCTACGTACCTGCATGTATTTACAACGTGTTCGCAGCCTTAAAAAAAAGGGCTAAAAGTGCATGCTTTGCTTTCTTCTACCATTGTAAAAAGAAGGGAGGAGGGTATAGATTCAATGGAGGAGCTAAGACAAATAGGAACGAAAATAACTAGCGATGAGGTAAGCAAGTTAAGATAATGTTTGAAAATGCAATTGAAATCTTTAATATATACTAGATCACATTTAAAAACAAAATGGATAGATAATTGTAAATATTTAGTAATTAATTTTATTAGGAGAAAAATTGGAGTTTTGAATGAATTCCCTAAATTAATAATTCATTTTTCCTCCTAATAAAATTACTAAATATTTCTATAACAACTATTTGTCCGTTTAATTTTTAATTGTCACAGGGTACATGTTAGGGGAGTTTGGGAGTATTGTTTTCCAATTCCGCTACTAGACAACATGCTTGACTGATTAAAGGGTGCCAAGATTATTTTCTAAACTAGACCTAATAAGTGGTTACCATCAGATTTATGTGAGGCCTGGAGATGAGTGGAAGATAATCTTCAAAATAAAAGATTAGGTTGTATGGATAACTTGTGATGCTTTTTAATTTGCCTAAGAAATGCGCCGATTATCTTTACAAGGGTGATGATTCCGACTTTGAAACCTTTTTCTAGGTAGGTGTGTTGTAGTATATTCTAATGACATAATTATTTTCGATCAAAATATGGAGGAGCATTTAAAACACTTAAAGCAACTTTTAAAGCCGCCATGAAAAGAAAAGTTTTATGCTAATTCCAACAAATGTTCTTTCCTCTAATCCAAAGTGAATTTTCTGGGAATTATCATATCCCAGCAAGGATTTGAAGCCGACCCTGAGAAGATTCGGGCAATCATGAATTGGCCAAAACCACAGTCCTTTCTTTAGATAAGAAGCTTTCATGGTTTATCCACCTTTTATTGTTGATTAATTCAAGCTTTTAGTACCATCATGGCTCCAATCACAGTGTTTGTAAGCCAAATTCTATAAGTGATCTTCCGCAACAACATGGGCCTTTAAAGTCATCAAGCAAAAGATGGCAAAGGCTTTTATTCCCAAACTTCCTGACTTTTCTCAAGTTTTTGAAATTTTCTGTGATGCATCCCCCATTGGCATTAGGGGTGTGCAAAGTCAGGCAAGACATCCTATTGCAAATTATAAAGAAAAAATGAATGATAATAGGAGGAGTACTCAGGATATGATCTAAAATTTTATGCATTTGTTCAAACTTGGAACACTAGAGACCTTACCTTATCCATCGCGAGTTCATTCTAATTACAGACCATGAGTCATTGAAGTACTTACATTTTCAGATCAAGTTGAATACTGAGTTTATTATTCAGGAGTTGCATGGAGAATGAATGACAGGTCACTTTGGGCACAACAAAACATCATTCTTGGTTGTTGATCGTTTTTATTGGCCCAACATGAGGACGAGCATCAATACCATCATGAACAAGTGTAGAGGTTGCCAACTAGACAAGGGAAACAAGCATAATACTGGCTTATATATTCCATTAACAATTCCACAGGCCCTAAATTGTTATGAGTATAGACTTTGTGCTTAGACTTCCAAGGACAATTAATGGTAATGATTTTATCATGGCGTTGGTGGATTAATTTTCTAAGATGATTTATTTTGTTCCCTGATGAAAGACCTTTGATGCTTCTCATACTACTTTTTTATTCTTAAAAAAGAACATGCGACCGCATGTCAATCCAGTTTTAATTATCTCTAGCAGGGATGTCAAGTTTGTTAGTTACTTTTGAAAGACACTATAGGCTAAACTAGGAATGAAACTTCTTTTCTCTTGTGTCATCCACCCATAATCTAATGGCTAAACCAAAGTCACTAATAAAAGTCTTGGCAATCTGCTCAGAAGTTTAACAAATGATCATGCCGTGAGTTGAGACTAAATCACACCATTTGAACTGGTATATGGGTTGTGTCCTAATATTCTTACAGACGTTGCTTCCTAGCCTCTACCTCAGAAGACCAGTGAAGCAAGGCTGGATTTTATAGCATTTATATCCACTTTACATGAGAGTGTCAAGTATAAGATGAAGCATCAGGTTGTCAAATATACTGCACAAGCTAATAAACATATGAGGTTGCATTTTTAGGAAGGGGACTTGGTTTTCATCAGATTATGACTTGAAAGGTTTCCTCCTATAACATATAACAAATTGCATGCTAGGAAGAGGGGTCCATTCAAGATCCTCGAGAAGTCAGGAACTAATGCCTATTTGATTGATCTGCCAATAAAATTCCAATTTAACCAAGTTTAAAACATGGAAGATCTCACAGTTTGTCATAGTTTTACACCCACTTATGGAACTGGAGAATCCTCCCTCAACAATCCCTCAGGTTTAGCCAATCCCATAAATTATAGATTCAATATTAACACATAATTATGTGTCTACCAGAAAAGAGGGTTATAACAAGTTCTTGGTGTAAAGGGCATCCAAACCCAAATTAAAAGAAATGTGGTTACAAGACAATGAAGCCCTTTACCCTAATCCTTAATTGCTTCAAGATTATATCAAGCATTACTTGACCGAGGCAAGTTGCTTGGGGAGAGAGGAAATTGATGCAAGTTCTAATTACCAAGACATGGACATTAAGAGTAGAGTCCCAGGAAATAGATAGATTGATTCTAGCAAAGGAAAGAATGGTGATAAAGATAAGGATTATGTTGATGTAGATTCCAATTGGTTGAAGTATTATATGGAAGCTAAAGTTCCAGCTATACACATTGGCAGGAAGGAGCAATTGATTCCAATAAGTGATGTCAACCTTGTCATCATCCAAGTTACAATGAAGGCTAATATTAGTTGTTGTTTGTCGTTATCATGTTTTTTACTAGCTATTAGAATTTCCAGGTATCAGGTAACTATTAATGTTAATTGTAAAACTATTTATTAGAGATTTGTAATTCTAGTATGGGGTGTTGTGATAAAATTAAACTTCTAATTGATGTGATTCCAATATTAAAGTGATTCTTTGGACGGTATGAGACTACTTGTTACTTATCCATATATTTCTGCATTTGCAATAAAATTTTGAGATTTCCATCCTTTCTCGTCTTCTTAATCTTTTTTTGTAAAAAATATTGAGATTGCTTTTGTTTACTGGCGATTATTAAAAGAGTCCATAATGTTGCTGACATTAAAAACCTATCTATAGTTAAGAGAACTACAAATAAGAAAACTTTTTTTTTGTTTTCAGCAAAATGTAACAATAACACAAAGCTAAAGAAGCCATCAAGTTGGATAGATAATATGTGTCGTGTAGACTCAACGCATCCAAGCTAGTTTCATGTGAGATGTAGTAATTTGCAACTCCATTAATTTATTTATTAATCTAAGAAACAAAGAAAAGAGACATAAACAATCTGAAAGAGATTACCAAGAAAAAACTGAGAGTGTCTGAATTTGTCATTACACATCACCTGTTCTTTCTAATATTCTGTTAGGTTAGCCCACGGTGGTTTTGCTTTATCAGACCTCCACAAGGTGCATGTCCCGTTATCGTCACCTCACCTCGTTATTGTGCCTGCATGTGCTTTGAGAAGAAATTATACGACACGAACTTGGTACATCACATCAAACTAATCATGTTATCTTAGTTTAGTATTATTGCTATCCTTTGAAACATTAATCATTAATGAGATTGAGCTCGGTCAGGGGTTCATGTAAAAATTTGACATTACTATTTCAGTGACTTGATTAATATTTAGTACAAGAGAATATATAAACCACAAGTTTTCGTAAACTTAATTTCTATAACCCAAGACAGATGGATTAGTTTGGAAATCATTAATTATCTAATCAATGAACAGAATATACATTAATGTAAAGAACTTGTGCCTAAACACTGGCAAATTAGAAGCAACTGACTAGAGGTGTAGCATTTACCTTAGCTGACAGGTGCCTACGTGTTGCAACTTCACGGTGAATCAAAATCACGGCGAATTATTGCGATTTGCCAATGGAGACAGAACATGGGACGGTAAGTAAGTACTTCCTTTATTTGTGCATCAGAGAACGAGAGGCCAACATTTTATTTTTCCAAAATTTTGATTGGTTGACGGTTTCAAACTGACCTACGGAGAAAAAAAAATTAAAAAGAAGATAGCTGTCAAGAGAAGACGGGTCTCACACAACAGCCCCGTTTGAGATCAAAACATGCGATAGAATAGAATAGAATAGCTAGCCATCCCTTTAATCACAGTGCTTCAGAGTTTCAGGGTTCTAGTTTTTGATTTACAATCATTTTTGCACGCTGCACCAGGTCACAGTCAGTTTTGTAATTACTGTTCCTAAAAATTTCAGAGAATCTTGACGACTTAACATACAAAATACATATAATCCCAAGTTACAAGATTTGAAAGGTTGAAGTTGATGGAAAGAGGCCAATAGCCGTCAGATCTACTTGTTTTCATAACACGAGAGAGAGAGAGAGAGAGATGACCCTCGATCCAAGTCCTAAAACCTAACCACAAAACCATCATTTGGCACAATCCCACATGTATTTTAGAGTGATTTACTAATTAGCCCTAGCCCTAAAACGCAAATTTAGCATATACTTTTGTGTGGATCACAATCATCTGACAGGGCGAAAAATAAATTTGAAAAGAATAGATTTGTGAGAAGAAAAAAATACCTCTTTGCTCAAGGTTTTCCACTGTCTCCCTGCCTCGTCTCGTGTTTTTTCTTGAGAGACTCCATTAGGGTTCGAAAAAGATGGGTGATACTTGATAGTAATGAGAAAGAATAAATATCGTGAATTACCATGATCCGCTGTTAACTTAAAAGAGTTGTGTAAGGTACGACCCATTGTATGTTTTTATGCAACCGGGTCCAAATCCGTTGGATCAACTAAAACTGCATGTAAGTCGATCACACTTACCTCCATGTAAGTGTAACGGGTCCATATCGTGAATTACCCATTGTATGTTTTACTTGTGACGTATATTACCACCTGTCTACGGAGGGTGCCACCAGGTAAGTGTGATCTGGCCATCAACCGTAGATAAACAATTTACTATTTATCGCGATACAAGATTTAAGACCTAAAAGAACACTCCACATAATTACAACACCTACCCACTTCCTGATACATCTTGTCCTTTTTTTCGGCGATTAAAAGCCCACTAAATGAGATTTGAAGGTACACTGGTAACGGAGCACATCCACAAATTTATGGTGCAAGATATTGTCTTATATTGCTTTCCATTCGAGAAAAGACTGGCTTTTTACTCCAAAAACATGGAGGAATGCTATTCTTTTCCCACATCAACACAGTAAAAAAAAACTTATTTTTTAAATTAAAATATTAAAAAAATAATTTTCATTGTAACACAAAAACAATAATTGTGTATATTCTATATGCATGGCCTATAGATTACGCGTATATCACATCCACAACAACTGATCAAACATATAGTAAAAGCACAATCTACCGTTGGCGTGTATTTTACAAGCATATATAGTAAAAATTGTAGACATTATATATTTTACAATTAATACAAGGCATCAAATCAGTGCTGGAGATGCTATAATTTGCATGTTTGAATTGCTCTATCATGATTTATCGTGATTCGAGAAGTTTATTGATATAATAAATTCCATGTAAAGGACACATGCATATAATTTGCATTTTTCAATTAAGTGTATTGTCATGATACATCCTAATCATATAAACTGTAAAGTGAAAATTAATAATCTTGATAAGAGTGCATATATGCATCACATAAATGGTGTGGGTATATTGATGTGTTTTTTTTTTTTTAATGTACTTACACATGGATTAATCTATATTTAGAATTTGTCATTGCACTTCTTGCATCGACGTTTTTTTTTTTCCTTTCTCTTTGTTTTTTAAACTGGAATTGATTGTAAACCTGCATGTATAAGGAACTCTTGGTATGTGAATTCTTGAATATATTTCTAAAATATGATCATTGAAACCATGACATTTATGTTTGATTGAAGTGAAAAGTGTTGGTAAGATGTATTTTAAGTTTTGATTCAAATAAAAAGTTTATGAGGAATTTAAGCAAGTTACAAATTTTCTATCAACACTTAATATGTTTTTGGCATTTGAAATGGCTTGGTTAGAAAAATCTAAGAATTACTCGTGTCAAATTACCATCGGCTCCTATGACTTATGACTTTTTCAACTGCATGTTGTATATGCGGTCAGAGGAGGCAATTGACTAAATATATACCATACTTATTTTTTGAAAATTTTGGATTGTTATGATTTTTGAATTTTTAGTTTTAGTTTCCTTTTCAATTCTTAAAATAATAAATTTAGTTGCAGTTATTTCATTTTTTTCTTCTCTTTCAAGAAAGTTTGAGAATTTTATATCCAAGTTTTAATGGGTATCTAATAAAAATCAAATTTTTAGGACTTATTAGTTAATAGACTAAGTAGTTTGTCAATATATAATTAATCATTGTTACTTTAGAATTAAATATAATTGAGATTATTTGATACTCAAATCAAATCCATGTAATATTCTAATGATTATTGTAATATCTTACATCGGCGGGTGAAGAGTTGATTGCTGATTTTATTAGTAATGCTAGTTGCTAACTTATCAAACACGTTTTAAGGTCATACGTGGCCACCAAAAACAAATTTGTGAGGGTGGTAAAGTCCAAAACAGATAATATCTGGCAGGTTGGGTTGATTTGTTACATTTGGTATCAGAATCAACCTCACTGGTTGTCTGGTTATGCCGACGGAGTCGTTAGGCTCCTTAAAGAGGGTGAATTGTAATATCCTATATTGATGGATGAAGAGTTGGTTGTTAACCTTATTAATAGTGCTGGTTGCTAACTTGTCAAACATGTTTTGGGACCATGTGTGGTCACCAAGAACAAATTTGTGAGGATGGTAAGGCCTAAAATAGATAATATCTGACAGGTTAGGTCGGTTTGTTACAACTATTGTGTAACTCAATTGATTTTTATTTAAAAATAAATTAGTATGCAATTGAGTTAATTGTTTAACAATATCATTGACATGCAACTTAATGAATTAGGATGATCATTTCACCGAGGCAAGTACAAAGTTGCTTTTTTGTGTGGCATGTTTAAACCCAAGTGATTCTTTCTCTACTTTCAACAAAGAAAATCTTATTTGTCTTGCTTATTTTTATCTCAGTGAATTCTCTATAGTGGAAATTATAGTATTTGGTGCCCAACTTGATATATATGTTATTTATCTATGCAATGATGATGAGTTCTCTGGTATTAAAGGTTTTACTAGTCTTGTTAAGAAAATGGTAAAAAAAAAAAAGAGTGACAGTTTAAAGAGTTTTTCAAATTGATAAATATATGTTTGGTATATATGTTTATCAAATTGTCATTACTTTTACATGTTGAAACTACTACAGTGGAAAGAGTTTTTTCTGTTATGCATATTATTAAAAGTAGATTGCAAAATAAGATGTGAGATAAATAGATAAATGATAATTTGGTTGTATAAATTATCAATCTAGTTAACTCTATCTTCAAAACTAAAAAACAATAAATATCATTATCAGTAATAATCACGTCATCAACATATCAATATAGAATGATAGGACATGTATTAGTGCACTTAAAAAAAAAGATATGAATTATGACGATTAGAAGCAAATCCAAGAGAAGAGATCACAATAGAAACTTTTTCAAACAAAGCACGAGGTGTTTGTTTGAGACCATATAACATTTTCTAGAGCTTACAAACATACCTAGAGTCATGTGAAATGATAGAAGGAGCGTCATACAAACTTCTTCTTGAAGATCTCTATTTAAGAAGGCATTTGACATAGATAAGAATGTCATAAATAAAAACTAGAAAGAGAATGATGTAAACGAAAAGATGATAAATCAACACTAGTAGTAGCAATAACTAAAACTTTCAACTCATCCAAAATATATAGTCCCTTCTTTGTAGGGCTTCTCCCAATCAGCTTCCAAGACTACAAATCCTGTTTATAACAAAAAAAAATGGTTAAATAATCACCAAAATCACATAACCAACCCACATAAGCAAGATTCAATGCGAGTTCCAAAATAAGTAAACATCAGGAAGAGATAGGTGAAACGTGATGATTAAACCAATAACTATTAAGGGCATGAGAGTGTCATCAACAGTTATGACATGAATAGAAGACAAAGAGAATATAGAAGCAAAAGATAAAGAATCTATAGACATATGATGTGAAGCATCAGAATCCATAATCCATTTAAAATGTGATACACCTGTAAAACTATGAGGCAATTGATTCATGTAAGAAGAAGCAAACATAGCTCATGGCTGTAAAAAGAGAAACTTCTAAAATTGTTCAGCTAGAGTACAAAGATCGGTAAAAGGACTTGATGAAACCACTGTTATAGTATTGTGGTATGGTGTTTTATAGCTCTAAGGTGGTTTACAGGCATTAGATTTTGATTGACTATTTAATTTTTTGTTTACAAAAACTGCACTCGTCGAAGGCAACTCTTAAGGTTTATTCTGATTATAATAAAATGATTTAGAAGGTACCATTAACATATAAGGATTATAAGTTGAAAAAATTTTCTCTTTAGAATAAGACTGAAGATGTATTTTTTCAGCCAATAACTTATTGACAACTAAGTCAACAGAAAGCAATAGAGAATAATGTCAAATTGAACTTCTATGTCCTTCAATATCATTATGAAGTGCTATTAAAAAAATATATCAATCGTCACTACTCTCTACAAGCAATATAAATAGCAGATACCTTTATGTCGACTTTATAAGAGCTAATTGATCTCAAAGATTTGTTATACAATAATAAAACTCCTAAATACTCTTATTTTTCTGATAAATAACTCGTATATAATTCTCTAATTGATATTGTTTTGCCAACTTTGATTGCATGAATAACATTTATAGATGACCTCAAACTTTTTTTGTTATCTCATACTTCGTCAAATGTATACCTATAAAATACTCAATAGAATTATTAATCTAAGTAATAATCTTTGCATTGTTCGCTTATCAAAAATCTATCAAAGCAACCCTCATCAGTATTCCTAGATTTCACAAGAGTTTCTCTAATATACCTCTACATCTGTTTACTCTTACGAAAATTTTTCATCATATAATTCCAATAAGGATAATTCTTTCTATCCAACCTTATTTTTACAGACTAAAATGAATCATTTATTTCAATAGTCATAATCAACAAAAAAAAATGTCATATTATAAAAACTAAAAAATTATCTTCTCAAAATTATACGATCACTCTAAAAAGAGTGCTAATAGGGATCCGTGAAAACTGTGTATGAGATTAAATCTCATTCTATAAAACCATAACCTAATATTATGTTAAACAATTTAAAAAAATACAAAAATACAAAAATAAAAGAGAAAAAAACTGGAATTTCATTAATATTGTATGTATTCACAATAATCTAAAAAAAAAGTTTAAGCTAAAAGAGAAAGAAATTATATATATATATATATATGTATATTAAACTAAAAAATAATAATATTCTATTTTTAATAAATAAAAAAAAATTAACCTATATTTTTCATTGATGCCAATATGCCAAAAAAAACAGAGCTCAGGAAAGCTAGCACAGAGGTTCTGAAATTAGCAGAACTAGATGTTAAGTGTAGGTGAGCCATGTTTGGTCGAGATGTCCTCTTAATTTGAAGGTCCTCGATTGCTCATTATTTCACCTTTGATTCTTCTGGGCAAAGCAGGGGAGTAGGTCACGACCACACCATGCA